AGTTCAGCGGTTCAAATTTCACCAGCTCAGGGTTGACTCAGCCTTCCATTCTTCCGAGGTGAGTAAAATGAGGTTCCAGATTGTGGGGGCAATATGCTGACTCTGTAAACCGCTTAGAGAGGGCTGAAAGCCCTATGAAGCGGTATATAAGTCTAACTGCTATTGCTATTTTATTATTGGTACTACCTTTGCTATTTTTTGCCATAGTCATTCTATTTCTATTTGCAGGTCTTTGTATTTTGTTCCCTTCTCTAGTTGATTCTCTTATGCTGTCTCCAGGTACTGCCACATCCACTATCCAGTTTTTTTCCCTTTCTTGTGGACAATTGTTGGAGTGTTATGTGGCAGGTACTTGTCTCTCTGAATTCTAAAGTCCCAGAGCAATTTAGCTTCTTCATTTTCTATTAGTTAACTCTATTTTATTATTATTATAGAATGCAGTAACAGAATCTTGAATGTCTTGACAGATTCTCTCTCTGAGAGAATCAGAGAATAAAAATGGGACAATCTTAAGTTTTTTTCTTCACTCCCTCTCTATCGAGCCTAAACTGATGTTTAGGTAAAAGCTGTATCCCTGTACTTTTCTACAGTTTACTTTAGGAGAATTCAGAATGTGAATCTGGGTTAGTAATTCTGCTTAAGATATTTATTAAAAGGTGTTTTATATTTCTTTTGTTATAAATAGTCCTGAATTGTTCCGGCAGAGAGTCCTTGAATTAAATGCATCTGATGAACGTGGAATACAAGTCATTCGAGAGAAAGTCAAGACTTTTGCCCAATTAACAGTATCAGGAAATCGTTCAGAGTAAGCTCTCTCGGATAGTATTTATCTCTGTTTCAGGTTAACATGAGTTGCTTTGTAATGCTAAAATAAACAGTCAGCACTGGACTATGAGGCTCTCGGATGATGCCTTAGTGAGTCATCCAAACTTTACTATAATCTGAGGGGAATTTATCAATCACCAAGTGTACATACCTTTGCTAGTGTCTCCGATAGAACTTGTGTGTAAATACTGAAATGTCATGTAATATATTAAGATATTTAAATTGCATCCTCCAGTTAATTGAAATAGCAGCTTCAACTATCCCTTTGGGTAACCTCACTATTGATCAGATTATGATAAGAAATAGATTAATGTCTCAATTCTCTTTTGAATATTCTATAGGCAGAAAGGAAAGATATAAGCTATATGGAGCTTATGTATTGAAAAGAGTTTAGGAAAAGCATGAGTTGATTTGGCCTGTTTTTTCCTGCCTGTTTGTTTTTCTTTTTTTGCTGGGATTTAGGGACAAATAATTACTTTAGCTAAAATCATATTCTTTTAGATTCTTAAATCTCCCTCTAAAATGGGGAAAAGCAATTCAAGGTTTTAAAGGTGAAATGTACACCTAACACTTCTATAAAGCTCAAGGATCAGATGTTGCCCTTAAACCTAGTCCCTAAAAGGCCAGGAACTTTGACTTTGTGAAGTATGGACAAATTAGGGAACATCATAAAAACACCTGCAGTGTGGGAATGCCAACACTTTCCATAAATGAATCCATGGGAAATAAAAAGTCTAGAAGAAAATAATGTGGCCTGTTTTGAATAACTGTGAGGCAGTTCCACATAGTGCAACAGTATTTAGTTAAGTTGGGGAACAGAATGGGGAAAGTTCCAATTCAGAATTTTTCCCATTGTAGATTTGAATGGTACGCAACATTTATGCCAGAATGTGTTTGACAGTAGACTGATGAAAGCACAACTTGTGCTGGCACTATAAATGGCTCACACGTGCTTTTGTGATTGTTTGTGTTTAGCGGCAAACCATGTCCGCCTTTTAAGATCATAATCCTGGATGAGGCAGATTCTATGACCTCGGCAGCTCAAGCGGCTTTAAGGCGCACCATGGAGAAGGAATCTAAGACCACACGATTCTGCCTTATCTGTAATTACATCAGCCGGTGTGTATGAATTACAGTGTGCTTTTGTGTTTATTTACTCTTATGAAAAGTGTATTAGACAACTACACCTTGGAGTCCACTCACCTCTTGGCAACATGCTGGGCATATTTCTGAGATTTTCCGAGGAATGTTATAGATGTTTTTATAACTCAGCCTTTTTTTTTCTGGCTGATATTTCAGCTTCCCACTCAAGCCTTCAGCTCTGGGATTTCCTGGTGTTTTCCCATCCAGATAGCAACCAGGTCTGAAATTCTGAGTCTAAATTTGGTTAGCTCTGTTAAAATATCTGTCTAAGAAATGAAATAATGTATTTTAATTTTAAAGACAATTATGTTCTACTTAAGGAAAAAATGAGTATGATAACACAATGCTAATATGTGAAAATGTACATCCTGACAACCTAGCAGTTTGAGAGCAAGCATATGTGAGTAGATAAATAGGTTCCACTTTGGTAGGAAAGTAACAGTGCTTTGTGCGCCTTTGGGGTACAGCCATGCTGGCCACACAACCACAAACAATGTCTTTGGGCAATGCTGGCTCCCTTGGCTAAGAAACAGATGAATACCATGCCCTAGAGTTGGACATGACTGGACAGGGAAACCTTTACCTTCATATGCTGTGGAAAGAAACTACATATGTTGCAAGAAAATAACAGCAGAAAGTGTTTCTGTTTCCTCTGGTTACTGAGTTTCTCTTCCTGTTTTTGAATAGAATCATTGAACCGATTACATCTCGATGTTCCAAATTTCGTTTCAAGCCACTTTCCGACAAAATCCAACGTCAGAGACTTCTAAACATTGTTGAAAAAGAAAATGTGATGATCAGCAATGAGGTAACATGCCAATTAATTGTAAAATTATTTGTCTTAATATTGTGAATAAAAGGTTGTATTCATCAGTGGGTTTTTTATACCTGTAGAAGAAGTAACACTTGTGAATGGAATTCCATGCTCCCCCCCCCACCCGAAGGTTTCTGCACACAGCTTAATTCTATAGCACAGAACTGGAGAATCCCCTGGGAAAAGAAACCTGCTGAATTAAATACAGCCTATAAAATTTAATTGTGTGTTCCTTCATCTGAGAGCCTGAGACAAGATTATGTCTTTTGTAATGAATGGAGATAGATTAGACTTAGAACAGTCTTTCCAAAATGGGATCTCTAGTTTCATTGATACTCCAAATTGTCAGGATTGGGAAGATGAACTTAATTGTAATATTGGGAGATTATACATAAACAGTCCTACAATTTGCACTTTGCATTCCAACCATTGAAGTTCAATAGAAGTTTAACATGCCCTCCTCACCCATATCTCCAAGAGAAATGCATAACCCAAAGTAATGAGGATTGAACTGTCTATGGCTCACCACAAATGAAAGCCACCCTTCCTTCCTTCCTTCCTTCCTTCCTTCCTTCCTTCCTTCCTTCCTTCCTTCCTTCCCCTCTGCACTCCCCTCCCTCATAAGAATAACAAATATACAATACAGATTAAAAACAGCAATAAACTGATGAAAGATCCAGTCAAACAAACATATCACGCACCCAAAAAGGGACTCCAACCACTTAGCCCAAAGACTGGGACATCAGCCAAGTCTTTAAGATCCACCAGAATGCCATCAGGGTGGTAAGCAACTGGATCTCAGAGGGACCTCCCTTCAGTGGGCAAACACAGAGTCAGAGAAGACATTCTTCCAGGGTCCTGATAGATGGATTATTTCTCAAGGAATCTGGAGCATGCCAATTGTCGGAATCAACCAGCCAGACTGACATCACAGGAAACAGGCAATTCCTAAAGTAACCAGTCCCTATTCCATGTAGGACTTTATAGGTCATAACCAGCACTTTGAATTGCACCTAGGAGCAAACCAGGCAGCCAGTGTATCTCACAAAGCAGAAGTATCACATGGGCATACTGAAATGCATACTTTAGGCCTAATTGAAGCTTTCAGGCAATCTTAAAGCACAGCCCCCTGCAGAATGCATTGTAGTAAGCAAGCTGTGACTTGTGGGCATGAGTGACTGAAGGGCCTCTTGATTTAGGAAAGGACAACATAGGTGTACCAGATGAAGCTGGACAAAGGCCTGCCTTGGCATAGCTGCCACCTGCTGATTGAGCTGGAGCTGAGTGTGTGGGAAGGCTCCTAAAGTGTGTAACCCCTGGCCTTTTGAGCGTGATTGGCAATTTCAAAAGCTGCCAGAGGTCAAGGAGAATAACCATGGGAGCTCCACTTCCATCTTGGTTCACCAGACTATTAACAAGCTGAAAATTTAGTATAAGATGATAAAAAGTGTGCTTTGCAAAATGGTATTCATTGTTTTCCTTTTCTGCATGTGATTTCTTTTGTGTTTATTTTAAATACTCTGTTATGTAGGGAATCGATTACCTTGTTCATGTGGCAGAAGGAGATTTGAGGAAAGCAATCACACTTCTTCAGAGCGCTACACGACTGACAGGGGGAAAAGAAGTGACAGAGAAAATTGTCATTGAAATTGCAGGGGTAAGCCTTTTTTTGAGATGATATATTTGCTGTCATAAAAAGTGATGATTCAAAATTGTGATTTTTTCATTAAAGACAAAGCTTCAGAAGCTGCACACATATTTTTAAAGACTTGCCCAGAATAATGCTCTGAGAGTTATGTGTTGAAGAGAGACTTTTTTCTTGCTATAATTTGTATTAAGAATGTTAATTATAGTTGTAGAAACTAATGCGAACTAAAGTTAGAGAAAAAGAAGGGAACAGGAAAGAATGCAAGAAAGAAGAAAAAATAGACTAAAGAAAAAGAAAACATGAAGAAGTGATTTCCTACTTTAAATAGGAATAAATATTAAATATTCTTTTATTTGAAACAGATGTAATCATTAATTCACTAAAATATTGTCATAGGATTAGATTTCTCTCCAATTCTTTTTCATACCACACCAATTTTTTCAAGGCTTTAACAAATCTCTTTGATAGATCTATCAAAAAATCATTTTCTAGCTCATTCTTTTGATTTATCATTTGTATTTCCTGTTTAATGTTTATTGCTTCCACCTGGATCTTTTCTATACTTCCAATAATGTGGATATAGAGAAAATTGCTTTATGGGAGATCAGTGTGGGGTGAATGTGATGGGACTTGGGATGGCTGCTTTAGGGCCCAGGAGGGATGTGCAGGGCAGGTGCAGTAGGGTGGGGCTTGGGTTGCCGGAGGGGGATGTGAAGGGCTGCATAAGTGTGGCAGGGTGCAGGTGGCTACTGCCAGGTGCAGAAGATTTACCAGAGTGACTTGCAATCTTCTCTGCCAACTTCCCCATTGATTTTGCTTGTGGCAGGGAAGCTTGAAAATGATGACCACTATTACCATGTGACACTTCAACTGTCATAATTGTGAGGCAGTTCCCCGCTCACATGACCGTAAAGGTGCCAGGATAGCCAGAAATTCACGGGCCAGTTGTAATCACCACTTGTCAACACTGTTGTAACAGAATCGTAATAGCACTTAGGCTTATATACCACTTCACAGTGCTTTACAGCCCTCTCAAAGCACTTTACAGAGTCAGTCTATTGCCCCCCAACAATCTGGGTCCTCATTTTACCGACCTTGGAAGGATTGAAAGCTGAGTCAACCTTGAACCAGTCAGGATTGAACTCCTGGCAGTCAGCAAAATTACCCTGCAATACTGCATTCTAAACACTGTGCCACCACGGCTCAAATGGTGCTGGTCATGTGGTTTCAACTGAGGACAACCAGTATAGGGATGATCATAGATTGAAGATGCAATGAGATAAATGTTAGAAATATTGCCATAGTGTAAGCTAGATGATGAAGGGTCAAGTATTGCTAGATGATGAATGTATGTGAATTGAATATAAATGTGAGTGATCCAAGTACAGAAGGCAGGATAGGATAAAGTGGTCTATGGATATGCTGGAAGCAAGGATGAAGAATAGAAAAATATGGATAGATATAATGAATGGTTTGGTGTAAAGTAGATATAACCATGATTTCCTTTTCTTTTTCTCTTGGCTCGTGCCTTCACTTTCTTTGCCTGTTACTCCTTTCCCACTTCTGCCTAACATTGCTTACCTTAAAAGGGAATAGCGTGATGGACATGTATGTCTGCAAAGTCAAGAATGCTGGCTGCATTTCTCATTTTTGGAAAAACCTGGACAGAAAAGACTACCTGTGACCTTAGGATTTTTGTTTGTCTATCTGTATTTTCTTATTGCCCTGGTGATTTACATCAAAAAGAAAAGGTTTTGTGCGATAGGAGATGGATAATATATCTATGTTTTATTTTTACGACTTTATATTCTAGGTTGTCCCCAAAGAAATATTGGATGGGCTGCTGAGTGCCTGCCAAAGTGGCTCTTTTGAAAAGCTGGAAGTTGTAATGAAGGTTTGTTCCTTAAGATTTGAATGAGACACAGCAAGTAGCTTTTTGTATTATAGGACACTCTTTTCTCTGCTGGTAGGTGGTACATAGTACAATTGCGTAATCACACTGAAACTAAAAACTGCCTGCCTTTAAGCTAATCTTGTGTCAATGTAACATGAACTGCCTGACATTTATTTGGCTTATGACCTTAGGTACAGGAGAAGTATAACTCCCTAGAGTTAATTAACTGTCTAACTCACTTTGTACAGTAAGAATATGTTATTTTCAGCTTGATTAATATTCAGCTTCAGCATATCTTTTTGAACAATTCAAAATGGCAGGCCGTAAAAGTACATGAAAATTGGGACTCTTGTGTGTTGTGCTCCATGTTTCCTACTCTTGCATATTTTTCTCCTGATCTACTTTAAGGAGCTATGATAAGACAAAAATAGAGAGGTCTTTCTCTCTCTCAGATAGCTGATATTTTTGCTTCGTATGTTTCTCTGTACCTAAGATTGGCTTTGGATATTTTTTCTGTGTAAAATGTATGTGTGAGTGAATTGTTAGGTGTGTCATAAGGTTATAAATGACTTCAGAACCAAAGGGGAATCTGCTTTGGAACACGTATATTATGTGTACATGTAGTCTCCTAAACCAAATTGCCCTTTTCCAGGATTGTGCTATAGAGTTGCTGGCAAATGCTAATTCAGTCTCCCCACATGCTCCAAATTCTCTTTGAAAGAAAAGCCCAGCATAGCCCTAGCGTGCTTGGTGTGAGTAGGTGATTTTTTGCTTGTATTGGGGTACAGGTGAAATGGGCTTTTGGAATACAAAGCTAGGTTCAAAGGGGTAGCATTGCATTTTGGAAATTGATCTCTGCCTTGGACCCATATTTGGGGCATATTTTTTTTTGTAAAGCATCAGGAATTTATTTTTCTGAGAAATGGGTAGTTGTGACAGGTGGTATGGTTTGCAACTCACATTTTATGAATGAGCAAACATACCCTCCCCCCCACCGTGCAGGGCCTCTCTTAACTTTATTATGTGTTCAAAATTTGATATAAAACCCACCAGCTCAAAATAGCTGCGTCGCTCATGTAGGTCGAAGGGAGGAGGAAGAGATTTTCCTAAACAGGTATTTTTTGAGATACTGCAGATAAGATTCCTGCTTTGAACAAGAATTTGTGATCCCCCCCCCCCTGAAGCAAATACTATATTCTTATGGGAGCAATTTAGTTTCCATATATAGTTAGAAGTCTTGACACCTCCCCTCCCTCTTTGTATCACTGTTGTCTCAGATTCTGTAATTATGTTGGCAGTGGTAGCAATTTTTCACACTCTGTAAAATAAGCAGTGATCTGCCTTGGAGCTAAGCAAATTCATCACTAGAATAGATTGTTCCTCTGTTTGCAAGAGCAATCCCTCAGTCTCTGCAGGAACATTTGAGGAAGATTTAAATTCCACTTTAAAAATGGAGCAAGTGTCTATACTCCTGCTTGTCTGCAGATTGTTAAACGGAAAGGGAAAGGCTTCCCTGTAGAGCAGGGGTGTCAAACTTGATTTCATTGAGGCCGCATTAGGTTTGGGTTTGACCTGAGGCGGGGGGGCGGATAGCCAGGGTGGACGTGACCAGCATGGTATCACTCATGTTAGGGAGGCGCCTTTGGTGGCCTGAGCGCTCTTACCAGCAAAAACAGGTTCCCAAGCTCCGTTTTCAACTGGGACGGCATCCTGCAAACCTCTGCCAGTGAAAACGGAGCTCAGGAAGGCCACACGCCCTCGTGAGCTCCAATTTTGCTGGCATAGGCACAGCGGGACGGTCCTTCGCTGTTTCTAAGGTGGCCTTGTGGGGCAGATCTGGCCTTGAGTTTGGCACCCCTGCTGTAGAGTCTCCTTTAACAGTTAATGTTACAAGATTGATACCTTCTTAGTACTTTGTTCATAGGGCAGTGCCAGAAACACCTTCACATCTATTCCTGCCAAGTAAGGCTTCTGGTTAACTCAGATGATACTAATCCAATTATATGATTTATTCTTAAATATGCTTATTAAACAATAGCACAGTAGTAGTGTTGAACAATATAAAAATCATCTCCCATTATTGGGACCATCAAATAACCGGATGGAATGTGTGCTGCTCTTTTTTAAAAGCAAACTTTCAAAAACTGTCAGTACCATTTCATTTGTTATTTCTGGCTGCCCTGGGCTTGTGGTTTGTTGCTTCTGATTTGGGTGGATGCCAGAAGAGGCGGCCACACTGGCTAGCAAGCTCTGTTTTTCCTGAAAAAGACACTGGCTTCAGTGGGATGCCTGGCTGAGTAAGGCACACTGGCAAAGGTGGACCTCTTTAGGGGGGGCAGAATGCAGAAGAATCACCACTGACCGGGTCTTCTTGTGGGATAGTAGAACTTTTGCTAACTCTAACCCTGGCTTGTGGGGATGCTGGGAGGATGGCATCATAGCTTGGCTCTTCCTGGAATGCAGACTGGTAAGCAGCACCCTGCTGAGTTGAGCTCTCAATTGACTTGGTAAAACCAGCATGGAGGTGCAACATTCCATTAGCACAAGAAGGAATCAAGTTGGCATTTAGGAACTTGAGGGCAGAGTAAGTGAATAAAATCCCAAGTATTGACAGCTTTGCTACCTTGAATGATCTCTGGAAGGCAGAGCGTTTAATGAAATGGTCTATTTCACTGGTTGTTGCTCAGAGCCAAGGTGGCGCAGTGGTTAAATGCAGCACTGCAGGCTACTGCTAGATCAGCAGTTCAGCGGTTCAAATCTCACCGGCTCAGGGTTGACTCAGCCTTCCATCCTTCCGAGGTGGGTAAAATGAGGACCCAGATTGTTGGGGGCAATATGCTGACTCTCTGTAAACCGCTTAGAGAGGGCTGAAAGCCCTATGAAGCGGTATATAAGTCTACTGCTATTGCTATAGTTTCAACTTCTGCATAGTGCTCATTTGTAATATTTCAAGCAACTCCATGGGCAGCTTTATCCTAGTAAGGAATTAATAATTGAACTTAGTATCTCCTGACTTAGCTCAGTGGCTAAGACGCTGAGCTTGTTGATCGAAAGGTTGGCAGTTCGGCGGTTCGAATCCCTAGCGCCGCATAATGGAGTGAGCTCCCGTTACTTGTCCCAGCGCCTGCTAACCTTGCAGTTCAAAAGCATGTAAAAATGCAAGGAGAAAAATAGGGACCACCTTTGGTAGGAAGGTAACAGCGTTCCGTGTGCCTTCAGAGTCTAGTCATGCTGGCCAAATGATCATGGAGACGTCTTCGGACAGCGCTGGCTCTTCGGCTTTGAAACAGATGAGTACCACCCCCTAGAGTCAGGAACAACTAGCACATATGTGAGAGGGGAACCTTTACCTTTATATTATCTCCTGACTTTACTATATAGGACCAGAAATCAGCACCCAGATGAGCATAGATTAACATCAGACAATCAGTCAAGTAAACAATACCCTTATCCTTATCAAGGAACTGCCAAACAAGCCAACACTAAGCAGCCAAATACTACTACAAACAAACAGCCTAACCCAAGAACCATCACCACCACTCCTATCAACACTGACAGGAATGTAAAATCCTTACTAGCACTGATGATTTGACTTAGTTTGGATAATGAAAAGAACAAGAAAACAACCAAGTTTGGAGACTACCAAGGACCCCCTCACTATGTAGGACCAGAAGTACTTTCACTAGGTTTTAAACTAATAACAAATAAACTATTTGTTTAAATAACATTAAACTATTTAATCTTGTCAATAATAATGTCCAGCTGTTAATACTAGTCCTTATTTGTCCTTCTCTGACTTGCTTATAGAATGTGATCAGTGAAGGCTATGCAGCTACTCAACTGATAAATCAGCTTCATGATATCATCGTTGACAAAGAAGACCTCAATGACAAGCAAAAATCTGTAATTGTAGAGAAATTAGCTGTAAGTCAAAAGTACTTGCATTCAAACTCTATCAAAGGCTAATGAAATATGTGGTTGAAAATGAATAGTAAGTACATTAAGGACTTGTGGGAAGTTGTATTTTAGAAGTCACACACAGAGATGGGTGGTTTCTAAATGTGATGTACAAATAAAAGTAAGTAAGAGTCATAAAGAATCTGTATGGTAAAGAGATTCACAACTTGTTCCGTAGTGGGTGGTTGTAATTTCACCAACTTTCCGGCGCTCTCTTTTGCTACTTGGTAGTAACAAGAACAAAAAAAATAAAAGCAAAATGTATCTGCATTTAGACAACTGTTTAATATAAGCTAATATTCTTGCCACAACTATAGCTAGTTCAGACTGATGTCTCCAGGTGCATTGGGCCATTTCCATGTCGGAATGGGACAACTCGTGGCCAATTTGCCATAGTTAACTCACAATGGGACAATTCAACAATACAATTTAATTATTGAAAATATTTGAAAATATTTTAATTTTTGTCCTTCACATTTTATTTTGTCCCTTCTTTGGCATCTTTTCTTTAATTATTCTAGTTGGCTATTTCTTCAATACCGGTATTAGTGTTAACTCCTGTGGCAAGATAACCATGGCAAGTTGCAGACCTTTCCATGTTAGCTGGAAATTTTAGTAGGTATTATCTAACTAAATCTAGGGGTACAAGTTGGAAAAGGTTGGGCTGGCAGATTGTTCTGTACTGGCAACTAAAAGAACAATTACCTGAAAAATGGCTTAAAAATGTTTCAGTAGTTTTGAAATTTGGTATGTTACAAGGTCGTTGATTGAGTAGTTTGTTAAACAAGGACCACCTGTATATTAATGAATATTAGAGAGTTTAATTTCATTCTCTCTAGAACAAAAAAAGTTTGATACATATTTTGCAAGGGAAGAGGAAATATATTTGCTAAAATGTTTTGCTTTATGCCAAGTATGATTGTTACCAAACTTGGCAGATCTTGAGTATTTTGTTTTGTTTTGCAGGAAGCAGACAAGTGCTTGGCAGACGGCTCCGATGAGTTCTTGCAGTTGATCAGCGTCTGTGCAGTCATGATGCAGCAAATAATTCAGAATAGCTAACTGCAGGGGACAAGTGGCCTTTTGATGGCCATCGCAGATCTTTTCTCTGCAGTTTTGGCACAGTTTGCAAACTGTTCTGTAAATATAGACTTTGCTTTGGATTTTCATCTTCTCACTTTCATTTTAGCTTTTTTGGTTCAGTCCAAGCTACTGTGGGAAGGAAGAATCAAAGCTTTTTTTCCTGCTATACATACATACATACATTATACAAGCCATCTGGTGATCATGTGTTTATATAGTATGTTAAAACAGGGGTTCCCAACCTATGGGCTGCAGCTCACACACAGCCCAAATCACACAAGCAGCAGGCATTGGTGTGAGGGGTGGGTGTGCGCATCTGCTGCTCACACAAAAGATGTGCATATGTGTACCTGCCCCTCACACAAAACCATGCCCTCCTCCCCCCCCCCCCCCAACGCTGGGCTGCCAACCCAGAAAGGTTGGGGAATGCGGTGTTAAAACAAGCTATGGTTAAGTGGTCATTACAATAGAGCCAGTTTGATAATAGTGACTAAAGGCCTAGAAACTGGGAGACCATGAGTCTAGTCCCACCTTAGGCACAAAAGCCAGCTGAGTGCCTTAGGCCAGTCACACACACTCAACCCTAGGAAATGGCAAACCACTTCTGACTTCTTCCCAGGAAAACTGTACTTACCTTGAGCCAACACTGACTGAAAGGAACATATATGCACAAACACATGTAATTGGATACACCGAGAATATATGGCTTTAGATTAGGGAAGATTTCAAAACTTTTGCTACAGGTCCTCTTTACATTATTAAAATGATTTATGTGGATAATATTGGTATTTGATATTTACAGCATTAAAAATTGCCTTCAGGAGTCCCCAGACTACTGTGAAAATTGCTGGTTTAGGACATGTTCTGAGGCTACATCACACAATGGTTCCTCATCCTATAAAACCTAATCCTAAAGCCTTAACTTTAAATCTGAGGCTCCCATCAAATTTGTGAATCTTCTCATAAAATGGGTGAACACTTAAAAAAAATTTTTTTCGGTCATTTTCTTGAAATTGAAAAAAAATAGCATTTGTTTTGTTTTTAGTATTCTTTAAGATGTGAAATCCCTTCATCGATTACTGCCTTGTCGTGGTGAAGGGGCTTGGGTAGCTCAATGAATCTATGAGCTACGCTGTGCAGGGCCACCCAAGATGGACAGAGATCTCTGACAAAATGTGATCCACTGGAGAAGGAAACGGCAACCCACTCTTTGTCATGAAAACCCCATGTACCGAAAGGCAAAAAGATATGAAAGGTGTCCAATATGCTACTGGGGAAGAGCAGAGGGTTAGTACTAGTACTAGTAGCGCCAGAAACAATGAAGTGACTGGGCCAAAGTCGAAAGGACACTCAGCTGTGGATGTATCCGGTGGTGAAAGGAAAGTCCGATGCTAAAAAAAGCTATACTCCATAGGAACCTGGAATGTACGATCCATGAATCAAGGCAAATTCGACGTGGTCAAACGAGATGACAAGACTGAACATCGACATCTTAGGAATCAGCGAACTAAAATGGACAGGAATGGGTGAATTTAATTCAGATGACCATCAGGTATACTACTGCAGGCAAGACTCCCCCAGAGGAAATGGAGTAGCCTTCATAGTCAATAACACTGGGAAAAGCAATACTGGGATACAATCCCCAAAATGACAAAATCTCAGTTCGAATCCAAGGCAAACCATTCAACATCACAGTAATCAAAGTCTATGCCCCAACCACTGGTGCTGAAGAGGATGAAATTGACCAGGTCTATGAAGCCCTACAGCACCTTATAGAATTACCACCAATGATGTCCTTATCATCATGGGGGATTGGAATGCTAAAGTAGGAAGCCAAAAGATAACTGGAATAAAAGGCAAGTTTGGCCTTGGAGTACAAAATGAAGCAGAACACAGGCTGATAGAATTTTGTCAAGAGAATACGATGGTCATAGCAAACACTCTTTTCAAACAATCTAAGAGACGACTCTACACATGGACATCACCAGACGGTGAACACAGAAATGAGATCGACTATGTGCTCTGCAGCCAAAGATGGATAAGTTCTATAGAGTCAGTAAAAACAATATCAAGAGCGGACTGTGGCTCAGATCACGAGTTTCTCTTTGTAACATTTAGGCTTAAATTGAAGAAAGTAGGGAAAAGCACTAGGCTACTCAGATATGAACTAAATCATATCCCTAATGAATACACAGTAGAAGTGACAAATAGATTTAAGAAATTAAGATCTTGTAGATAAGAGTGCCTGAAGAACTATGGACGAAGGTTTGCAACATTGTGCAAGAGGCAACTAAAACTATCCCAAAGAAAAAGAAATGCAAGAAAACAAAATGGCTGTCTAAGGAAGCTTTACAAATAACTGAGGAAAGAAGGGAAGCAAAAGGAAAGGAAAGGGAGAAAGATACACCCAATTGAATGCAGAATTCCAGACAATAGAAGAGCTAAGAATGCCTTCTTAAATGAACAGTGCAAAGAAACAGAAAACAATAGAATAGAGAGGTTCTAGAGATTTCTTCAAGAAAATTGGTGATATGAAGGGAATGTTTCATGTAAAGATGGACATGATAAAGGACCCGAATCGCAGGGACGGAACAGACAGAAGAGATTAAGAGGTGGCATAATTAACAGAACTATATATATACGAGCTTAACGGCCCTGATAACCAAAATGGGGTGGTCTAGAGCCAGATATCCTAGAATGTGAAATCAAATGGACCTTAGGAAACAACAAAGCTAGTGGAGGTGACAGTATAAGACGACGCAGTAAAAGTGCTGTACCCAATTTCTTGGGAAAACTCAACGGTTACCACAGGATTGAAAAAGGTGAGTTTATATTCCAATTCCAAAGAAAGGCAATGTTCAAACTATCGCACCATTGCGCTCATTTCACGTTAGTAAAGTTATGCTCAAAATCCTACAAGCTAGGCTCCAGCAGTATTTGGATTGAGAACTACCAGAAATACAGGCAGGATTTCAAAGAGGCAGAGGAACTAGAGATCAAATTGTCAACAAATGCTGGATCATGGAGAAAGCTAGGGAGTTCTAGAAAAACATCTACTGCTTCATTGACTATACTAAAGCTTTTGATTGTGTGGATCACAAAAAATTGTGACAAGTTCTTAAAGAGATGGGAGTACCAGACAATCTTATTTGTCTCTTGAAAAACCTATATGCTGGTCAAGATGGAACACTGAGAACTGCACACGGAATCACTGATTGGCTCAAAAATTGGGAAAGGAGTCCAGCAAGGCTATATACTATCGCCCTGCCTATTTAACTTGTATGCAACTTATATATGAAAAGAAATTAAGAAATGCACCAGATCATAAAATATTTAAATATTGTTTAAAACTTGTTTTAAACAACACAAGGATATTTTATGAGAGATATGCTAGAAATAAGAGAATGGAAGATGCAAGGTAGGTTTAAATACACGTTAAGTAAAAAAACACCAGTTGTGTGCTAGTCATCTTCAGATAGCTTTTCAGATTTTGACAAAACACTACTAGTCAGGTGACCCAGAGGACACAGATAAACCTCCAAGTGCTTCAACAACCCTCTAAATTTGGTGTTAAAACTCATCAGGACTCCCCCCCCCTTCACTAAACCAGGCATGGGTGTGGCCAGCACCTGGCGGTTGAAAACCCTGCTCTAAAAGGATACAAATGACCAGCTATCTGCAAGGAATATAAATCCTTCAATTCCCCACTAACCTGTCAGAGCTGAAGCTTCTTAGATAAGAAGCAAAACATCTTCAAAAGAAAAAAAGTCCAGTTGTCTCTTGAAAAAACACCTTTGGGACAACCATGACCTGGATGGCTACGAATCTAGTTTTGCCAAAACAACGACATGGAGTTGTCTGCACACACCCTCCCCCATAACAATTGCTTTATTTCCCCTTTCCTTAGGAAATTCTTTTCTGTATCCAGAATGCAAGCTTGTTTTGCTACAATAGTCATTTCCAACACTTCCGAATTTTTGTATTTCAAGTTCCAGTTTTGTTTGTAGTAGTTGCCCATTTTAAAAATCAAATCGATGCAAACTACATTAGGCTAAACCAAAGCAAAAATAGAATGATTGATACTGAATGCCTGATGTAATCCATCATATCATGCTCTCCCCCAGTGTGACCTCACCTATTCCAGCAGAAAAAGGTAAGGCCTGTAATTGTAAAGGCATGCTTCTGGTCATTTGAAATTTAGGTTAACTTTAAAAAACTTTTTTAGACCACTAAGTTTTCAACTAAAGTTTTCAACATTCTTCTTTAGAAGGTAGTGATAAAATACTTAGGAAAAGCAAGAGAAGAAATAAGAAAAATAGTAAACAAGGCTGGAAACCTGGCCAATAGTTTTTCATTAACCTGAATAAATGTATTGCTCAAAGTGCTTCTGGGTTTATGAAAATTGGAGGTGCATTCCATAAATTTCTCTTACCATTCAGGCAAGTCCAACTTTTTACAAAGTAATATTAAGCTTGGTTTTTAGCTTTCTCCTACTCTAATCATTAAAAGTAACTAAATTTTAAGGACAAAAAGCAAAGCAAAGCCTTAGGTTTCCTGGGCATTCTTGACTAGACAAATAGAATAAATTTGTAATTGTAATTAAAGTGGTCAACATTTAAGACATAATACTCAGAGACTGGTTCGTCTAATCACTCTAGCATTGGTCACCAACCATGGACCACTGGTGGTTCGTGAGAAAATTTTGGTGGCCCACAGAAAAATTATTTTTTATATTGCACTAAATACTATTTATCTTTTAAAAAATTCGTATTAGTAGACTGCGGGATTTAAAATTATTTAGTGGTCCCTGAGGTCCGAAAGGTTGGTGACCCCTGCTCAATACTACTGTTGAAATAGCAGTTTGATGTCAACTTGTACAAGATCTCCATTACTTATGTACTATCTGTAGGTGACCTGTGTGGTAATACAACTGAAGCGCCATGAATTAACTCAACATTAGGTATAGTTAGTCCTTAACTGATGCCTGATCACTTAGTTACTGATCAAAGTTACAATATATCTCCCCAAGAATTGCATGTTGCCTGATTTTGAAGTCGTGATGGATGCCCCGTTATGCCAGCATTTACAGCTATTTATAAACATTCAAATCAGTCACTTGATGACTGCTTAACGACTGGCATGATTTATGAATGTACTTCTGGGCTCAACAGCCATAAGCCAAAAGACTACATGAACCATTATCTCCACTAGGCAGACAGAAACAAATAAATAACTTGCTACTATTATGTATAGTTGAATGTGGCACGTGCAAGATACATATCTGGCAGTCTGTGTAAAGATTGAAAACGGAAACCCAGAACTGCACTGCCAATTTCCAAAAAGCATCCAGTTCATCCAATGAAGTGAATATATAATATTTTATTGAACATTCAAACTTCATTAAGACATGTGCAATATGGCAATTTAATGGGTTTAAACCCTAACTAAGACAATATTAATGATTGCTTTCAGGGTTTAGCAACAGGGTCCAGATCACACTTAACACTAATTAAATACTTTATTCAATAAATACATACCAAACAAAAAATGCATTTTTATGTTCTTATAAAAGATTAGTCATTTTGAAAGGCCTTTCCAATTTACTCTAATATAGGATTATAACATACAATAAAGGTAGGTATGCTAGTTTAACATAATTGGCTGATTTTATACAGCACTTATATCTTTTAGTCCATAAGTAAATTATTAAATGATAAAGAACATCTAGCACTACCACTTCTACAGAACTAGGAAATAAATTTCTAATAAAGAAAAAATGTACAGACCCCATGACTTTCCACCCAACCCCAACAGTCTAAACCCTAAAGAGGAGAAAGCCAATGGCTCTCCCCCACAAAAGCTCACGACAAAATGTCGCTTTGCTTATCAAAAATCTGTATTTCTGATCCGTAATGAGCATTGAGACAAGATTCAATGTATCCCCCAAGAAGCACAATGCACGTTGTGGATCGCCAGGTCAGCAACAGCGAGCACTGCATTCCAAAAACATCTCAACCCAGGGATTAAATGAGGTCAGCCACATTCATAGGCATTTCCTCCACTGTAGTATTGTAGAAAGTCTCAATATCCCGAAGGATCCGCTTGTCCTCCTCAGTGACAAAATTTATAGCCACACCTTTCCTGCCAAAACGACCACCTCGACCAATCCTGCAAACAAAGCAAAGACATTGAACATTAGTCTTCTTTGACAAATAACAAAACCTGTTTTGGGGTGAGGGAGCCAGAAACTAGTAATGACACTCATTGCCAGATTAATGTTATTACAATCTCTTATGCTATTTTGTTGGCCTGAGCATTTTAAAAGCATAGCAAATATTGACTAATACTCTGATTACAGAACAGCTTCTCAGTTTTGGTGTAGACAGGATATATTACATTCAACGTGACTCCCAAGTAATTTTTTTGCTGATCTCATCCCCTCCTTATTTTGGAGAACTTTGGCAAAAAGTTCTCCCACACCATTTCTTCTGAACACGGACAGAGCTTGATGTCAGCCTCCAAATTACCAAGCTTGTTTTAAATCAGAGAGACTCTCATTCCAATTGCAGTTCTTAAAAGCCAAGAGTTAATACTGTATTTTCAAAGAGACAAAGAACTTTTATTCATCAGTGGGAAAACTTATCACCATCTGTCAAAACAAACAACTTAAAAATTAAACAGTACTGGGCACACAGTAGATCTACAGGTTGACAAACCCACAACTTCTGCTTCTACCTGGTCAAACCATTAAGAGCTTTTTAAGACAAACATAGCTCACAACAGTCATTACAAAAGAAAAGTATATAAATACCAACTCGCTCTTTATGCAAACAGTGTGCCGCTTACGAATCCACGTCCTAAATTACGTCGTCGTTTCTGAGCACCATCTCGTCATCAACTGGGCTAGCGACTCCTGTATTTTTTTGTATCAAGTAATAAGGTACAATTTACTTCATTTACGGACAAAGCCACTAAGAAAGACAACAGCTTAGGGAGGTAAATTTAAAGTTCTACTAGAAGACACCAGAGAAAGAATCCCAATGTAAGAGGAACCAAAGGAGGCAGTGGAGGCATTGGCACAAAGAAATGTCCAATAAAGCAATATTAAGCTAACAACAACTTTATGAAAAGCGCAAACCTCTGAGCATGTTTTCCTAAAATCACAATAATACACAATGGCAACTTCTTTAAAACATGTTTGCAAACTTCAAGCATCTGACTAAGGAGGTTAATTTAGCAGTCTTCGCTATCTTTAGTAATTATCAAAAATTGAATAAACAAGTTTTCCCACTGTTTTGTTTCATTGGCTAATCAAGAAGCTCTGCCCCTCCCATCCTCAACACACTATGCGCGCACAATAAACACACACACATTATATAATGCAAGAAAGCGAGGGAGGTTTGAAGATGTGAAGGTTCAGACTTCAGAATTGAAATTCAAAAATTCAACTTACCTGTGAATATAGTTTTCACGATTGGTTGGCAGATCGTAATTTATAACCAACGATACTTGCTGCACGTCAATGCCACGAGCCTGTAAAACAAAGGCAAAGCACTGAACAGCACACTTCAAGCCTGGAGGTCAAGGTATCTCAATTCTGCTGGACAATATAGTTTAATATACGGCAGTTAGTAAGTCCACATCATGGTATGAACTTGCTCTGCCAAGAGCTTGGGAAACTTAGGTTACAATGACCCACATAAAACAAATCAGTTTAAGCTCAATGACTACTGAAACTCACCAGCAAATCAGTAGTAATTAGGACACGGCTTGATCCTGACCTAAACTCTCTCATGATAACATCTCGCTCCTTCTGATCCATGTCACCATGCTGTTGAGATTTTTTATAAATACAAAGAGTTAACCATGTCAACCAGCTTTTATTTCTTCGAGTTTTGCTAGTCAATTTTTTTTTAAAATGCAGGCTTTTAAATAAAATAGTATCTTTTACTGTATTCTATTGTGGACTAGACAAGAGGAATTGAGCACGTGGGACAGTCAGTACACACAAGCAGAATCCAGTAATTATTTTTATTTCTAAGAGAATCTGGTGTTCAGTCACTGGAGGAGGACCAATTCCTAAAATAAACAAAGGACCTACTGATGAAACTACCTGACTTCTGATGTATTACATTTAAATTCATGAAGTAAGTTTGGGGCAGATTGAAGTATTTTCTCAGTCGTTCAATACCAGTCTTGATACAGAGCTCAGGGAACTGGAATAGGGGACATGTCCCAATATTTGGCATTTGAACCATATCATAGAACCTATCTTCAGATGTATTCTTACCAGAGCAGAAACAGTGAAGTCTCTTGCATGCATTTTCTCTGTAAGCCAATCTACTTTCCTTCTTGTATTGAGGAAAATAACAGCCTGGGTAATAGTCAAAGTTTCATATAAATCACACAGGGTATCCAGCTTCCATTCCTGTGAAATTAAGGAAGCGACCATAAGCACAGAAAAAAACAGTGCAAAATAAAACTTTCAGCACTATATAGTGTTGCACCAAGTCTCCAGACTAGGACACTGGACATTAAGAAAGAGGTCCACCCAAGTCACACTTGATTCAGTGCATTTCTTCTTCTTCTTGTGTGTACCGTGCTAGCATTACCACAAAAGCCAAGGAAATACCCCAACTTGTGCAGTTTTAGCATAGTGCTTGTAACAAGAAGTCAAACTAGCTTCACTGGTTCATCATCTTCCTTACCTCTCTTTCCACATTAATGTAGAATTGCTTGATACCCTCAAGGGTCAATTCTTCTTTCTTCACTAGAATACGAATAGGGTCTCTCATGAACTTTTTGGTCACTTCTAACACATCCATTGGCATAGTTGCAGAGAGCAATACAACCTGGTTCAAGAAAATTAAAACATTAGTCTGCCCAAAGGTTTAAGAGGCGAATGTATGAAACCAAGCGTCTTTGTCTGCTACGGAATCAAACAGACAAAGATAGAATAGAGACAATTTTGTTTTATGCAGGGGGAACGACAATACAGCACTTCACAGCTACATTGTAACTTTACCTGCATTATTACATGACTGCATCAAGTTTCACTTTACCTGAATGTTTGTGCTTAACTTCTGAAAAATTTCATAGATCTGATCCTTAAACCCCCGGCTTAACATTTCATCTGCTTCATCTAAGACAAACATTTTGATCCATTTAGGTGCTACAAAGAAAAAAAAAACCAGGCTCCATTTAAGTATTCTTATAAATAATATTTTGCATTATTAAAATTTTACTTTTATTTAAATCATGAATTTTTAAATCTATGCCTACTTTGATACATCCTATAGAGATTTCAAATCAGCATTAAAGTACTTACACAGATAGCGCCTATTTAACATATCAAATACACGTCCAGGAGTTCCCACCACAATGTGGGGAGCCTCTGCTTGGAGCTTCTGCATCTCATTGCGAACATTTGTACCACCAATGCAAGCATGACAAGTGGCGCCCATATAATCTCCAAGTGCCAAAATAACTTTCTGGATCTGAAATGACATAAATCTCAATTAGAATTTTACTACTTGGGGCGTATGTGTGTCTCTACCGTGTTTCCATTGGCCAGTTTCCCAATGGATTCATAATATAGCAATAGGACTTATATATTGCTTCATAGTGCTTTTAACAGCCCTTTCTAAATGGCTTACAATGTCAGCCCATTGCCCCAATAATCTGAGTCCACATTTTACAGTCTTTGGATGGTTGAGTCAACTTTGAGCCACTCAGGATCGAACTCCTGGCAGTGAGCAGTGACGTAAACTGCAATATGCAATACTGCATTCTAACCATTGTGCCACCATGGCTCATATTTGATGAGGAAGCTCAAATGAGATCTGACAATCTTTCTTTACCCACAAATACCATATTTGTAGAATCTCAACTGATACTGCATGAAGAGGGAATTTTGGCTCTATAAAATAAAGCTGACAGCTAGCCAAGAACCATACGCTCATTATGATACCATGCCAAAACCATTATCAGGCATTTCTCTATAGACAAGCAGACTCAATCTAGTCTTTTGGAATTATCAGTTGTTAAGTCAGCAAGATAAAACTGACTCTTTATTAGATGACACAACACTAGCAGAGGTCTACAAATCATTTAAATCTGAAACATTTCAAGTTCAAAAACACGCCCCTCAAATATCACCCAGAAAGGTTCTCAACTTAAGAGCTCTCCCAAAAATGTTCAGGTCATTATTGCTGAATGCCTCCAATAAGTTCAGAACCATGTGGAAACTTGAAATGTTCTGTACACCTCAATTTTAAAATCAGATGTTGATGCATAACAATTTACGTGGCTGACATGACCAGATGCACCAGGAGTGTTTTTCGAAGGTACTTTGAGTTACTCTCCACATGAACATTTTCTTTCACCAAGCATAGCACAGTATTGCTGTAAAATTGGCCTTCAATTTCTTCAACATTACCACCAGATTATAGTATTTAGAGAGTCAGTTTGGTGTAGTCATTAAGACAGTGGATTAGAAAGAGAAGCTTAGTTCATTCACGTTCTTGCTTGGCCATGAAAGCCACTGGAGAACCTTTGGCCAGTCTCTCTTAGTTCAGCTTACCTCACAGGGTTGTTGTGGGGAAAATAGGAAAAAGAATGTTTGTTGGGTAGGTTCACTGCCTTATTTGTAAAAATAAGACTGAATATCAATAAAAATAAAAAAATAATAAAAATTTAAATATAGTTCTGCAAAAATGCAGTTCAAAATAGAGGCCAAGAGACTGACACAGTACAATTTGCACACATATAGAGAAAAACTGATTACATGCACACAGGCATTTTCATGTTGCAGAAACTACATGCATTCTTAAGAGTACTTTTCCTCAGATAAATTGTTTGCATTTTGCATTTTAACAATTTTCACTTAAGCTCCTGCACAGCCATTACTGCACTTCATTCCATTATCTGCCTCAGTCATATCTGATATCGTGACCTTTTCCAGATTTATTAACCCAAAGGCAATGAGCAGCCATTACAAACTTGCAAGAAATCCTGCTGTTATGTTATGACACTTGAAACCTATGCAACATGTAAGCAGCTTTTTCAACTACATTATCGATACCTGTTGAGCCAGTTCTCTGGTGGGGGCCAATACTAGTGCTTGGGTCTCCTTGAGATCAATCTCCAACTGTTGCAGGATTGAAATAGCAAATGTGGCTGTCTTGCCAGTACCTGACTGAGCTTGAGCAATCACATCATACCCTAAAAAAAGGATAGATATTTACTGCTCTCACACAACACATTAAGGTTGCAATTTAACTATACATTTCCTTTTCAAGTGATCAGTGTTAGAAATAGTCTCCATTTTTAGGTCAGTCCCGAAAGATGGAATACCATCATCTCACTTCACAAGGAAATATGAATTTCCACCCAAGGCAGAGCAGCTCAGACCAAACCTTTGTGTCTATTAAAAAAAATCTTCACTATGGCTTACCTTTAATACATGGAATAATAGCACGTTGCTGGATAGCTGAAGGCTTCTCAAAACCATAGGCATAAATTCCTCTCAGAAGGGATTCTTTTAAATTCATGTCATCGAAATTGTCAACAATTTCATTCCAATTGCTCTGCAAGAAGAAAAAGCAAATTTTAATATGCCTCATCATCTTTCTTCACAAGCTTGTAAAAAACAACAACTATCACTAACATACTAACCTCAATGACACCATCAGGATCCATTCCCTCGGGGCCATGGTCTCTATTAAGTAAGAGAAGCATACATTGTTAACCAAATTTAAGAATTCTTGAATTCTTATTAGTATAACATATCTGAAAGCTGTCAAATATGCAGTAATTATTGCTAAGACCATATCTAGTCAAAAGTTAAGTGTACTGCTTCACAATTTTTCTAACATTACTAAATCATTCATGATCATATACATACCATTAAAAAATCATGAAAAAATAAGTAGTTCCATTTAATAACTTTGGTTGTTTCTCACTAATCTACTTATGTTAGCATATTACATGCAGTCCTTGAATTAGAACTATTCATTTAGTGACAGTTCAAAGGCACAGAAGGGACTCATAAGCCCTTTTCATACTATGATTCTTGTAGCATCCGCGTGGTCATGTGATCAAAATTCAAATGCTTGGCAACTGGCTACTATTTTTGACAGTTACAGTATTGTGGGATCACATAGCTATTTTATGGAACCTTCTGACAGGTCAAACTAATGAGGGAAGCCTGATTCTCTTACTAACTCTCACCAATTTAATTTAACTGTGATTCACTTAACAACCATGGCAAGAAAAAGTTGTAAACTCACAACTGATTTACATAACAATGGAAATTTCAGACTCAATTGTGGTCATTTGTCAAGGATTATCAGTAGTATTTTGCTTGCAGTGTACATTAAGAATGCATGCCTTCTCAAAATGTACAGATAGTCCTCAATTTACAAGTTTGTTTAGTGACCATTCAAAATTACAAGGATCCTGAAAAATGTGACTTATGACAGTGGCAATCATAGTTGCATCTCCATGGCCATGTGATCAACATTCAGACACTTGGCAACTATGATGGTTGCACTATCCAGGGGTCAAGTGATCATCCTTTGCAATCTTAACAGGGAAGCCAGATTCACTTAACCATATTACTAACTTAACTGCAGTGATTCACTTAACAACTGTGGCAAGAAAGGTTGTAAAATGAGGCAAAACCCATTTAGCAGCAAAAACTTCCAATTTTAAATCAAGGACCATTTGTGTACGTCCCCTCTAAAGCCTTTAGAGTGCATTTAATTATGGACTACCCCTCCAGGTTCCCTCAAAAGTACCTTCCCTACTTTATGTTATCCTCATAACTCTGGGTTGTCTATGACCCAAGTTCACAACTGGCAATTGTTATTGCAATTCTACATTTACTGTCTCACTGGCCCCATGAAAATCAGTCTGCATTGAAATATTTGAGCCTCAATCACATTATGGCGTGCATTTGGGAAGCCATCATTCATCCTTCTCTCAATTGAGGAAAAAAAGCAAGCTTTCAAATGTTCTGCAAACAAATGCTAATAGAAATACCCCGGGGAAGTCAAAATACAGCAGGCCACAGCATACAGTTGCTCTGCTTCTGCCATAATACTTGGCAGTGATCTATATAAAGTATTTGGCTAAATTTTGTTGTGTTCCCCAAAAATACTTTAAACTACTAAATCTATTTTTCTTGCCTTTAAAATCTAGTCCTAGAAAATAATAGTTTTTCTCAACGTCTATGGAGATTCTCAGTCATTCAGGTCATAGTTGTGACCCAAAGGTGCCTTTTGAAAAGGCAAACTGAACTTTCAATTCTGGAGATCAGAAGCAATTCTTCTTCAAAGAAAAACAAGAAAGGCCAGTTGCCTCTTGAAAAAGCACCTTTGGGACTTTCCCCCAATTTTAATTGAGTTTTGGGGGGATAAAAAAAGGACCTCTCATCGCCTCACACAAGAAATGGCAAGCCAATGATAGCTGTGGACTGTTTATATACACCGTAGGCTTAATAAATAGATGCCTGCATGCAAACAACACACTGATCCTTATGGCTTATTTTCTTCGATTAAATCGGGGCCCAGCATGGCAGATCCAATCAATTTTAGGATTCCCACCTGCGAAAAAAATCCATTGGGTTGCCCAGGCAACCCCGTCCACGTGGAACCCCAAAATGACCGTCTCTTGCAAGGATTCGTGGAATGAAGAAAGCGGGCAAAGAGGAAGGAGGGAAGGCCCGTGAGGAGTAGGGGCGAAGGAGGAAAATCATTGATCAAGCGAGGAAAACGTGGACAGGGGAACGTTATCACCGCGCCATTCCGGGCCTTCTCTTCCCTTCAAAAAGTCCGCCGAACTCTCGCGAGAGCTCCACCCTCTCGAAGTCGAGCGCCAGCCGGTGACGGACGAGGCTGTTGGCAAACCAACGGCTTACCAGCCGCGCCCCTCCCTGTTCTTCTCTTCATCCCACCCTACCCGTGGACGAAAATGGACTCGTCCGAGGCGGCCGCCCGCCCGCTTGGGCGAAACCATGTGGTGGCTCGAAGGGATGGCAACAGGGCCATCTACTGCACGCTCGAGACCAACGGTCGGATTTTCCGTCAAAAGCCCCCTCAGTTCCCTGACAAGCCGCTTGAGGCACTGGCGAGGGAGAAGACCTCTCCTTATCCCAAGGGCAGGAGGAGGAGGAAGCGCAGCCAGAAAGGGATCCTCCCCGCGGCGGCCGCCTCCAGGAACCCCCCGCTTCTTCCCATCACACCTACAGCCCTGAATAAGATTCCCTTTAAAAGCCTCCTCGCCATTTACTCTTCGCCCACGCCGAAATATACCTGCTGTAATCAGCGGATCCGCCTGACATGTTCCGATTGCTGCCGCTCTCCTCAACTGAAAAGGCAGCGTCGCCGCGGCGCCCGCTTTATATATCCCTCCCCCCTGGCCGGATCTACTTTTACTCCCCTCCCCCCCCGCCCAAGTATGAGAACTTCATGGCAGGGGGATCCCGTGCAGGTCTGCCCCACCCCCTTTCCTGTCCATGGACACATCTCAGGCTCAGGGAGGGTGGTCAGGAGAGAGAGAGAGGGAGGGAGAGAGAGATATTATTCCAGGCGGGCCGCAACGGCTGGCGCAGGGCCGTAAAAGAACGGAGCCCGGCGGGAGGGACTACTTTATGCCGCGAGACGCGGAAGGATATTGCAGCAGTGCAGTGGTGACGGGATGCGTCCCGCTTCAAACCTCCCCCCCACCTGTGAATTCGCCCCCCCCCCGCCTCGTAAACGGGGCTTACTAGGCGGCCCCTGCCTCGGCGAAGAAGCGGGAGGAGGGAAAAGGGAACGAAAAATGGCGGCGGCTCTCCCTGCCTGAGGGGGATTCTGGGCGGAAAGGCGGAGGAGAGGGGCCCACGAGAAGAAGGGGTGGGAGAACAGGGTCTTTGAGCCTGGAAAGTGAGGCAGAGCCGCCCCATCTCAAGGAAGGACGGCGGTGGGGGTGATTTTAAAGGTTCTGCCGCCTCAGAACCCGCCGAGCCCTTTAATGAGGGAATCTTGGTGGTTACCGGGCGGTCTTTCCCCCCCAGGGTGGGCTTATTTGAGAGACCGGGGGGGGGCTTCAATCTGCGCGGCAGTATTGGAAAAAAGGAGAGGGGCGGCAAGGAGAGGAAGAGATGAAGCAGTTTCTTCATCCCCCTCCCCGCCCCGGTTTCTTTCCAGATCTGTGGGGGTTATTCCGTGGGGGGGTAGAGGGGCGTCCGGCCTAACACGTGTGGCGGGATGAGGGGGAGGGTCGCGGCTCGTCCTTACATTCCATTCATTCCCCACCCACCCTCATTTAAGGGCGCGCTTGGAGGGCGCGAGGTTGGGGAAGGAAGGGGGACGGAGGCCTGTGGACTTAGGAGACCTCGCCCGCCTCTTCCCTAAGATTGAAGTCGGGCGGGCGCAACCGCCGGCCCTGCCTGCCGAGGGGCGAAACGGTTGTTTTTTGAATGGAAAAGCGTCTGGTTGATTGGGCGGAGAGCCGTCTAGTACGTTGATTATTTGGTTGGCGGACGAGGCTGCCAGAGGTTTGGGGAGGGAGGGAGGGCGACAGAAACGAGGAAGGCTTGAGGTCGCTTGGGGGGAAAAGAAGGAAGAAGAGGCGAGAAGTCAATGTGAGAGAGGAAAAACCAATTTTTATACTCACAATTCGAAAGACAAGTCCGGTTCACAATTCAAAAGTTTTTATTGCAAGGAAATAGAATAAGCGGTTGCAAGCGCGGCCTCCCAGGTTCTTCCCCATGGCTTGAATACTAGGAGCGCAAAGACAGATTTCAAGTAATACAATTTATACGTTTCTACTCATCATACATGACGCTTAAGCCCTCCCCATTTTCTTCTGAAGTTCATTCGCATTTCAGCATGACTTTTCCTGCAGTCCCCCCCCCTTTTTTTTCTTATCTGCTTCTTTTGGTTGTTTAGGCGGTGGATCTCACCAATTGGTGTGCTTGTCTGTATTTCAAAGTCAAAGGAATTTTACAATCAAGAAAAACAGCGCCAAGAGTCTCACCCCTTTGTGTTACATTTTTACACTTTGTATGAAAGAGTAACTTGTTATTTATTTATTTCCTTCATCAGGCAAATGGATGGAAAGAAATTGGGGGAAAGGGGTGCATGGGAAAGTAATATTAACGCCAAGGGGACAAGAGTTAACAAAGACTGTGGTGATAGCTTTTGGCTACATATCCTTTTAAAAGGAATCGGAGAAGATTATTGTACCTGCTTCATGTTTTTGTTGTTGTTAGTTGCAAAATCGTGTCCTACCCATCACAACCCCACGGACAACTTTCCTCCAGGCCTTCCTGTCTTCTACCATCCCCTGAACTCCATTTAGACTCACACCTATTGCTTCGGTGACTCCATCCATTCTCTGTCCTCCCCTTCTTCTTTTGCCCTCAGTCTTTCCCAGCATGAGGCCCTTCTCCAGTGAGTCCTTCCTTCTCATTAGGTGGCCAAAGTATTTTGAGTTTCCTCTTCAGGATCTGGCCTTCTAAAGAGCAGTCAGAGTTGATCTGCTCTAGGACTGACCGGTTTGATCGCCTTGCAGTCCAAGGGACTTGCAGGAGTCTTCTCCAGCACCAGTTCAAAGGCCTCCATTCTTTGGCGCTCAGTCTTTCTAATGGTCCAATTTTCACAGCCATACATTGCCACTGGGAAAACTTCATGTCTAGGCAATGTAAATTGGGAAGTGGGGGAGAGTTAGTTCATAGAGAAAAAACCTCACTAGATATAGCTGTTCTGGTGCCTTGATGGAATACAGAAGTTCTAGGGTGGGGAAGGGCTTGCCTGCATCAGTTAATTTCTCTGGGATCATGCCAGGTGGTTAGAAACGTGTTGCCTGCCTCCAGATTAGTATGAATAAAGACTTTTTCTGCTATCTCTTTAAGGCAAGCATCACTTCAGCAGCAGTAATAATGTTTAATATTTGTAACTGTCATGGATTTTGAGTGTTAGCTTTTAATGTGCTCTATATTCTTGTTATAAGCAGGTAAAAACAGTGTTTTGGGGAAAGCCACCTGTTGAATTCAGAATGGAGCTGATAGTTGACTCAAAATGTGAACTTCTCAGAAAGTATGACCAGATGACTGAATATTCATATGACTGAAAATGATCCTTCCATTCTCTCCCCCCCCCCCCCCATTTCCTATCAGAACTAATCATTCAACCCCCTCTATCCTGCCTGAATTAATAAAGCTTCTTGGATGAGAAGGAAAAACAAAGTTTGGTTGGCTTTTGAAAAAGCACTTTTGAGACAACTATGACCTGGATGACTGAGAATCTTCAGAATTATTTTTCCTTTAACTGTTGCCATCTCTTGTGTTGCGGCTGAAAAGTTTCAGACTGAAATCACTGCCTATTTAATGAGTTTAGTTTTAGTCATTTTGTCTTCAAAGCTTATCAAGATATAGAAGGATATACTAGTCCATTTTTGAACTAGTCTAGAAGTTTTTGAAAAAGGATAGCTTAAAATTGTAATAAAAGGGATTGGTGAACAAAATTGTTTTTATTTTCATATGTGACATTCAGAATTGATTTTAAGGTTGATCTGGTGAGCTAAGAGCTTGCCAACTTTTGGAAGAATTGAGTACAAGTGAGAATAATTACTTTTTTAGCTTGATCCTTTTTTCATCCTAAGTAATTTCTCAATTTAATATATTCTATAGGTAGTTTCCTGAACACTATTTCTGCTCACAGATATTCTTTTAACAGTTTGCATTTTGGTGCCAAAAAAATAATGGCTTAATGGCAAGGAATTGCATCCTTTGGGATGCATCGTTTACAGGTGAAGAAATCGGTTCCTATTACTTCATTGCCAGACTATTCTTTATTGAGTTTAATCCTGCATGTAAATTAATGAATAGTTTTCCTCCAGAAAACGCTTAAGAGGTTTGCATTAGTTACAAATGTTCATAGTTTAGGTAAAGAATTCTGGTTACTGCTGTTTTGACTTTTTTTTAAAAAAATCACAAAGCACCATTTTACCATATCAGATCCTGTTTCTCATTTTTATTCCTTGATTATAGAATAATGCAACATTTATGGGATTGGGGGGCATAATTTAGTTTCCCAACCTTCTGGAGAGCCCCAGACTGATCAAATAAAAGTGCAATTGAATTCTTATTTCATATTTCAGAGGGTTTTAAGGTTTGCAGCTGATTCTTGGAGTCAAAAGGGCCATGTTTCAGTAGTGCATTTTAAGTCCTGTGTGGGAGAAATTGTAAGGGTGGAATGGAAAGGAAATGGACTACCTTCCAGAGGTTTGACTTTGATTTAAAAATCCACTAAAGTTTTTAAACATCCATCTTATTTCTATCAGATTTCATAAGTGCAATTTCAGATTACTAGGAAATTCATACTCCTTTAGTGGATTATTTGTTATACGATGCTCAGAGATCATTAGGCTCAGTATATCTCTAATGCTAAATTTCTCAGAAATAAGATTACTGTTTGCATATAATAGCCCTTTGTTTATGGCTAAATGCAGAGGAAAGGCAACAGAATTTTATAAACTATTGCTCTAAACAAAGGTAAAATTATGGAAAATAGAATCCTAGAGTCAAGTTGGAAATACAGAAGCTGATCCAACTGAGGGAGAAAGCTTTAAGTAGCAACATGTGCAAGAGGTTAAAACTCCTATTTTAACTTCCCAGATTTTACTGAAGATTTCAAATCCAAAGCACCATTTTCTTTTTTTTTAAGTTTTCCCCTCTATAACATCTTACAATCAACACATTAATATTGTTATGTCATTATACCTGTATATATCAATCTTATATCGCTTCTATATTTATAGAATTCATCTACAGTTCTATACATTTCTCTATTATTTCTCTGCTAAATTAACTTTATTCCTGTAATGCAACCATTTATACCAGTTATCCAAATTTTATAGTATTCAGACTCTTCTTTGTCCTTTAATCTTAATTTTAACTTGTCCATTTCTGCACAATCTAAAATTTTCTGAATCACTAATTCATCTGGGGGAATATTACTTTTTTTCCAGCATTGGACAAATGTTATTCTAGCTGTAGTCAACAGGTGTATTAGTATGTATTTAATTTTCTTTCTATATTTCCCCTTGCTTATTCCCAGCAGAAACAGTTCCAGTTGTATTCTATTAGTTCCTCTGTAATTTGTTGTATTCATTTCCAAATTTTCATCCAATAATTTTGAGTTTCCGGATAGGTCCACCATATATGATAGAAAGTCCCTTATGTTTTTTTTTGCACTTCCAGCAGGTTGAATTCATGTTCGAGTACAGTTTGGCCAATCTCATTGGTGGTAAATGCAAACGATAGAACATTTTGTGCATGTTTACTTTGAATGCTACTGATTGTGTTAGTTTAATTCGTGTTCCAAATTC